TGCAACAAAACCAGACAAAGTGAACATTTTATTATGTGACATAAATGAGAGGCTGATTATGATGTGGCTGTAAAATTGACCAGTGCAACTGATGACGTTTTTTTAATTCTCACTTTATCATACCAAAATGTGAGGAATATAAACCATAACAGGATTAATGTAGGATTACCTCTATATAAAAAATATTAATATGAAACTAATTTACATTAAGTCCACTATTGTTTTATTGCGTTGTGGTTGATTTTTGAAGTAAGTTAACCAGTGCTGTTTTTATAATAAAATATCCGTTTGTTCATCATACACTGCGTCTGATCATTAGACAAACGCGAATTTCTGCGCATTGACTATCATTGGTCACATTCTGCATGCGGGGAACTGTGAAAAAGTCTAGAAAGTTCCTGATCATACGTCATTGATTAAGTATTAGATCACATTGCGAGCACACAACTTCCACGCGAAAAAATTACCGCTCTATCATGGCTACGTTTGAGTACTATCAGCAACAAGTGGAGAAGGCAGATAAGAAGCTAGATAAGGCGAACGCGGCGTTAGAGAAGTTTCAGGAGGAGGAGTACAGGGGAGGAAAGCTGGACAGGTTGAGGGAGGAGAAACACCTCGACGCAAGGGATAAGGCTGCGCTGGAGAGGCTGGGAGGCGAGGAGGCAGAGCTGAAGGAGCGCGTGAAGGTGTGTACAGAGGAGTGGATTAAGAGCAAAGAAGACTTGAGGCAAGTGAGGACTCAGACAGGTAACGACTTTGTGACTCGGGCACTGGGGACATAGAGTAGTGTGTACATACGACTTTGTGACTCGGGCGTTGGGGACATAGAGTAGTGTGTGGGGACATAGATAGCTTAGGCATAGAGTGGACGTAGTAATATTTTTTTCTTCATATGAATTTATTGGGAGAATGTTGCTATAGCTAGAGTTGACCTGACTAGATTTTTCTTTCCGCATTCTATATTATGTCTGTGCTCGTTCTTTATGCCGCGATTTTTTCTCTTATCAATTTGCTGCAAAATGATGATTCGACAAAAGAAGAACGACCATCTAAGCGGGTTCGCAGTGACGTTGATATTGACCCTCTCATGAGTGCAGTGTTACCAGATCCTTCATCGTTTTCTGATCCAAAAATCTGGAAGGGGCATCAGTTAGAATCTCCGCTTCTTCTTAATCATCGCCCATCAACTGCAAACGGAGTTCCAATCACATTGTCTCACCCAATCTTTGCAAGATTCCAAGAGCTCTGCAATAGCTGTGAAGTCAATCAAGGAGAATGTGACTTTGTTACTTCAGTAATGGATCCATTCAAAGATGAGGATAACAGAAGAGAGAAGTTTATTGAGATTGTGGAGCAGTACTTTCGTCGCACCTGTGAGCGAACTTTCTTTGGCAAGACACATACAGATGGATGCATTACGATGCGCAAGGGCCTTTTATGGATCCCACTAGCAATACTAGAAGTTAAACCTGAATTGGGTATTGGTAGTGGTTGTCCATATGTGCAAGCTACTGCATATTATGGCCGATATATTGTTGATGGATTATCTGAAGCACATAAAAAGGATCATGAGCAGCTGTGGTACAGCAGTTGTTGTCCCACATTTCTCATTTATCTAACAGGTCCCTATGTTGGAATTGCTGGTGCTGTATATTCTGAACAAGCTTCATTTGATCATCTCTCTCCAGTAATACCACTTCTCTTTTCTTAATCATTATCCTGAGTCAATGTTGCTGGGAGCAAGAGTATTCTGTGCTCTGAAAATTTGCCTTTCAGAATTGGAGACTTATTATGAAAATCTTAAATTTATTTCAAAAAATGATAATATTCCCCGACAAGCTGCTTTTCCCTACATTCAAGAAATTGATTTTAATGGTGAGTAATTTTGTATTTTAAATCTTTTCATGGTCTTTTGCTAACAATGTCTTACAATTTTAGATGTCACAGTCTATTTCAGCTACTTAAAACGAATTGCTAATAAGTTGTTGAAGTTCCTAATGAAGGTGAATCAGTAACAAAACCACTGCTAAAATTCACACATTAATATGGGTTAGAGACGCACCAGTACTGATCTGATAATGGCACCAAAGTTATTTGGTTGTCAGAATATTTCTGGGGGGATGGATGATGGTGATTATGGAATCTGTGATTTAGACAGTCAGATGAAAAAAAAAGGCGGAGACATCATGTTCATGGTGTGTTCATGGTGATTTGAGAAGTGTTAATATAATGATATCTGAGGGAGATGCGTGGAAAGGAAGGAATGATTAGATATCTCATTTTATAAATCGTATTAGTATAAAAGTGTGGCATAGTGAAGTGCATGCTGGAGCTTTAATAAGAAAGACACACGACTTGCACTTATTAGATCACATTGAATTATCTTCAGTATGACTAACCAAAATTTAATTATCCAATTATAAATCTATATATAGGATTACCCGTATATGAAAAAAGCCACGCGCCTTGGAGACAGGTTGCAATTGTGGTTGCACAAAAAAGGTTCCGGGAGAAAAGTTTGCTGAATTACGTGAAGCGTTTCAAGCCCTCTCTAGATCCGAACAAGATATATTTTTAATGGCCCAGCTGAAAGCAATGAATGGCGGAGAAATAACTGCCAGTCGACGTCTTAA